ATTAATAATCTTACGGGATTTATAAAGCAGAATAACTCATGGTGTGCCACAAGCTGTGTCGGGCAGTGACGGGCACAAGATTAAATCTGAATGAAAACCTCACTCGGCCCATCAAGAAGATTAGACCTGGGCAGGTGGCCCTCTGAGCATGCTCTGCGGGTCAGCTGTGGACACTCGGGTACCACTGGGGGAGGAACGCGAGGCTTCCTACATTCCTCCTGCCGTTTACACGGGATCTGCAAGTGCAGTTGATGTTTCATTTTCAGAGGAAAGGACAAACGGCTTCCAAATTAAAAGGAAGCATGATTTGCAATTTTATTTGTAAACTAAGAACTGAAATGATTTAATATTTTCAACCAAAGATGCTTCCAAGCTTACAGATCATTAGTAAACTCAGGATATGGTGTGAGAGACGCTGCTTTAATTAGGCTTTGGACTTCATATACTCCAGAATACAAAGATACAGTGACAGTGTCGGAGTAGCATAAAATTTCCTGTTTTGGCAACTCCAGCTGTTGACTTCTCTGTTGGCACTGTACCTCCGTAAGGGGGGCGGCCTTAGCAGCCACATGGAAATGGGCAAGTGTTTGTTTTCAGAGTTCCTTCAGACTAGGTCATACGATAGTTTAATGAACAACATGATCTCATATTTGGATGCTGTGATCATTGAAATTAGTGTAAGTGGTCTCTGTCCACATTAAAGGATATATATCCATATTATTTGTCATATTTGGCTGTCTCTGGATAAGATGGTGCCAGCAGTGGAATTACAGGAGGTTGTAAATTATGACAGAAGTATGATGGGAGATCTGAGGGAACTGGAGGTCTGCCTGAACTGAACTTTGGGTTAGCGCAGCCATGGTCTGTGGCTTTCTCTTAAATAATGTGCTTCGGCTCGGCTCCCTCCCTAAAGAAATAACAAAATCAGTATTTCCTGTAGCAGAATAAGGTTAAAACATCTGTGGGGGACATTCAAGAAGTTCATGTGTGCTTTTCAAAGGTCAAACAAGAGAGTTTTATTTAAAATTTGACTCTTTGATCTTGTATTATCTCTAAATAATTTCTAAGAAATATTTACTATCCTGAAATAGTACGATATTTAACAGCATCTCTTAAAGGTAAATATGTAAGATTATTACCTTAGCTGGGAAAGCTGTAATTTTTTAATCCCTTCCATTTAACACCATCAGTTTCTCCTTCTCCATAAATACCTTCTCTTCTGTTTTCAAATGCACTTGAGGCTCCTTTTTCCTTGAAAAAAAATCATATACACCCACATATATTTCACCTGACCTTGCTGGTCCCCCTATAAACCAGCTTAGAATACATTGCCCCAGAGGAATAAAATAGTTTAATGACAGTTACATGGGCTAAGATCCAAAAGCGAGGCCTTCTAATAGCAGCGCATTGAGAAGATGTCTGTGAGGGCTCCAGGATTGGTTCAGCTTGACCCAGAATCAAGTCCCCAAGGCCTTGCAGAAGGCAGTCTTGTCTCTTGGTTTAGTATGGTGACTGGGTACATTATGCTTTACTTAAGAATTATAGGGAGCTCTGTGTGTAGCTGTGATAAACCAGGGTATCTGTTGGAGCCATTGCTATTACAAATTTAGGAAATTCTTTCCTGTCCCTGAACATCTTACCAAACATTCCTGTCAATCAATGGACAACGCTGTTTAACTCAGCATTATGTTTTTATTGCCCATGAGAGCTAGAGATCACTTTGGGGCTGAAATTCTGCTCATAATAATCAAGGTCCTTTTCTTATATTTAAAATATTTATCAGCTAAATTTCTATAGGTCATCTTTCTTCCATATCCACCTGTGCTTAACACATCTTTATCCCTGGGATGCTTGCTTTCTTCTTCTTAAAACCAGGTTAAAGTAATGAAAAAATAAGCCACAGGCTGGGAGAAAATATCTGCAAAACACATACCTGGTAAAGGACTGATATCCAAAATGTAGAAGAAATCTCTTAAAACTATAATAAGAAAACAAATAGCCTCATTAAAAACGGACAGGAAATCTGAGCAGATACCTCACCCAAGAAGAGAGAGATATTTATAACAAAACAACATATGAAAAGATGTCCAACATAATGTTACTGGGGAATTACAGATTAAAACTACCATGAACTACAGCTACATACCTGTTAGGATGGCTGAAGTCCAAAACACTGACAACACCAAATGCTGACAGAGATGTGGAGCAACGTTCATTGCTGGTGGGAATGCAAAATGGCACAGCCACTTTGGAAGACAGTTTGGCAGTTTCTCTTAAAACTGAAACATAGGCTGACCATGCGCCTAGGTATTTGTGAATTGAAAACTTCTGTTCACACAAAAACTTGCATGTGGATGTTTATGGTAGCTTTATTCATAACTGCCCAAAATTGGAAGCAGTCATCATGTCCTTCAATGGATAAACAAGCTGTGGTCCATCTATACAATGGAATGTTATTTGGTGATAAAAAGAAATGAGCCATTGAACTAAAAAAAGATATGATGGAACTTAAAGGCATATTTCTAAGTGAAATAAGGCAATCTGTAAAAGGCTTATATTTTATTGTTTCAATTCTATGACATTCTGGAAAAGGCAAAACTGCAGAGACATTGAAAAGGAATCAGTGATGACCAGAGGCACAGGAGAAGGGGAGGAATGTATTGGTAAAGTATAGGGGATTATCAGGGCAGGGAAAGTATTCCATATGCTCCTATAGTGGTGAGAACGTGATGTTATGCATTTGTCAAAACCCATACAGCTGTTTAATGCAAAGCATGGACCCTAAAGTGAACAAACTATGGACTTTAGATAACAATCCTGTATCAGTATTGGTTCAATTTCTTTGTAAACCTAAAACCGCCCTAAAATTTTAAAAAGAATTTGTAATGCAATGACCTTTGTTCCACACACAAAATAAACCCTAGTAACACTGGAAATCCCTTGTCCATCCAAAGCGAACCTGTGTCCAGGCAGAGAAACTAAGTTGTGGGTCACACCCACTATCACTCTGGTGTCGTGTCACGCACTGAACTTGATGGTCTGATGTCAGAGCCAGTTACCTTTGTTAATCCTGTTCTTCTCCCTGTCCTTAAGTTCCTGTGACCCAGTGAAGAAACTTGGTAAATAAAGGGTAAACTACTTGATAACTTCCAATAAACAGCTCAGTGTTTGATGCCTGAATGTAAAAAAAAATAATAATAATAACGTGCTATGCCACCACTGTCGCCTTTCTAGAACGATCTAAGCAAACATTTAAAGGCCTTTTCCTTGTCTTCCAGGCCTTGCAATTGCCAGTGCTCTAGTAGATATCTCACAACAGAAGCCTTCGGACAGTAAAGACAAGACGTCGGGCGTGCGGAATCGGAAACACCACCTCTCAACTCGCCAGGGAACTTGCGTCTGAGAAACAGGGAGTCCTCCCGGATCAGTTGTGCTGTTCCACCTTTTAAAAGGCTCCCTATGGCCTCGAGTTGTCTGGAGACAAAACTCTTCATGGTCCCAGGACCCAAGTGCAGTTCCCTCCAAGTGGGCAATGACCCAAGTGGCCAAAGAATCCTCACGAGTTTTCTAGAAGTAACAGTATTGAAGGTCATGGATGATAAAGTCAGTTTTTATGACTCTCTTAGGCTTATCCTAGATAACTTTAAATTTCCCTGGAAAAAAAATATGTATATTGTTTCTTAATGCAGATGAAAAATATGTAATTCGTATAAACCAAACTGTTTATATCCCAAGACATTAAAGAAAGACATTTTATAATGCCTGAACGATGAGAATTGTACAGTTTTTGCCTCATAAGCAAACTTAAATTGCTTCTATATGAATGGGAAATGAACAAATTGCAACAGCTTTAAATGCTGTTTTTATCTCACTGTAAATGTAAATGTGAGACTTTGATTTAGTAGGATGTAGGCAATGCATTTAAATATTTCACACGACGGTTTCAGGCCCAAAGTCAGATTGAGAATGTGACTGTTTTCCACCTAACTGGAATGCAGACCCAAATGAGTCCATTTGGATGGATGGTAGGTGCAACTTCACAGGAGGTTTATTAGGATTCTGAGTGAAGAGGACCTTCCTGTGGTCCATGCCAACTGCCTAACTCATTATGAGAATCGATAGAGCATGGAAAAGCCTGGCCAGCAATCAATTTTCCCCTCCCTCCCAACACAGCCTCCAACACCACGAACCCGAAGAGAGCTGAAATCGTGATTTTGCAGCGTGCCAGCTTCGGCCCTCACATGGTAACTTCTTAATTGCCCGGGCACCATGGGATCAAACCTACATGGTCCATCTGCATTTTTAAAAGAACAGAGAATCCTCTTTTGACCTTCTGCTAGCAGCTAGCTTTTATCTACCCTTACAAATGTGATGAAAAGTATTTTAGAGCGACACCTCCCAGGTTATAATCTGACCCAGGTTCCTTCCTGCCAACCATCTCGCTGAGAACACAAGCCGAAAAGAGCATTTAGCTGGCACGCATCTACAGAATTCTTATTTCCAATGCGAACACATAGGTGTCCTGAGCGAAAGTCTGCCGTGTGATAAATAAGTTCATTATTGCCCCCATTTAACCTATTCTTAGTGACTCAAACCCCTGAATTATGGCAGAAAGGGAAGGTGATATAAAACAGCTTTCACATTGGGATGTAGGCTCCTGTGTGACCTAACCTTGTCCATAGTTCACAAGGGGTCAGTGGCATTACAGATCTTGTTGGGAGGTTCCTAACTGCAGGGTGACTATAAAATATTCGTAGAGAACACTGAGAGATATCCAAAGCTGCTTTATATGCTATAGTTTTGTTCAATCTGAACGTCATTTAAATATCACTGATGTTTAGAACTACATATGTACTTTTCATGTTCTTTGGATTTCTGGAAGGTAATGATACTTCACTGTTTACAGCTAATGCCTAGTTGCTTGCATGCTATGGTTGTGCAGTAGCGGAACAGGACACTAGCGTGATAGAAAATGTTGATTTTATAATGCCATTTATACATAGCTTAATTTGGCGAGGATCGAATGTAATATATATCAGGAATGATCATACACTATGTAGTTGCATCATATATAAGATTGCTAGGTTACATCTAACCGTGACTATGTCATTGTTTTAATGATTAGGCATTTATGAGTTATGGTGTATATTCCTTATGTTGGCATGATATTTTTGCTATTTTCCATGCATTAAGAATAAGACTAAATCTTAGAGCAATTTTATCTATGCCCTGTGGGTTTTTTTCTTTTGAGGGGAGGGAGTGGAGCTGGTTTTAATCTCCCTGTGGTATTTTATCTCTCAAAAAAGTGAGAAAAGTTTGTAAATGTCTCTTAAAAACAATCAAACAATTTTATTAGCTTCTTTTTGGAACCTTTAAGTGTTCATTTTTTTCTCCTAGAAAAATAAATTGACAAAACTGCTGATTACAAAAATATAAATCCTTTAGAAATAAAATGATTGCCCGATTTGTGTAATTTTCTAACAGTTGTCATGAGAGAAAGCTTATATAACAAAAACAGAGTTCTATGCAAAAATCTATATCAGCTATATCTTTTGAGAGTCTAAGCAAACAGTATTACTGTGAAAGAATTGTCAAGCTTCATCCACCTCGAATTCCAGCAGGTTCCTAAAATATGGAAATCTGAACTTGAGAAAATTATGGGACACAATGCAGTGTTAAAGTCATACTATACCTTCCTGGGCCAAATATTGCTAACTTCCTGACTAATTATGCAGTATCTTCTTAACTTAGCAAAGCTTTTTACTGGCAATAAAATGCTTCACCCTCAGGTGCCGTGGATTGAAAACACCTTGGGGGTAATCACTGTGAATGTGTCCTTTTACCCCCCCCCCCACACACACACACATTGCAACAATTTTACTTTTGTATGCTGCCTTTTTTATTTTTAATCAAACCACAAGTATGCAGAAACTCTTCAAGAAGTTAGCAAGTAAATGACTGGGTCTCTTGAAAATGTATTTTAATGGAATTCTGTATATATCCATTTAGAATGACTTTGAAAAAATTCTTTAGATTTTAGGATGTATTGCTCTTCCACAAATGAAAATTTTGGATTAAGTATAATGGAGTTTTAAAAATTAACCAGGGGACACTATTTGGACACAATAGAAAATTCTTGTTGAAAGATCGCACATGCTTGCAGATTGATTGAATGCATATTAAGAGGATTGGGATTTTTGTAATTGCTTGTAAATGAAAACTTATTCTAGGGATACACAAAGAAGGAAAATGTATGCCATATACTATGTTCACGAGGAAAACTTGAAACAGGATATATTTCAATGAGTAATCGATATTTACTGTACTTCCCAACATCTCATTTTCTTGGGTTCCAGTAAGACTGTGACGATGGCTGTTGTCACAGCAGGTCACTTAGAGTGCAGGATGGGGGATGGGCCTGGAAACGGATGTGGGACCCGCTTTGAGCTGTGAGGTGCTGGGCAAGTTTTACCCTTGGGAGCCTCAGACTCCACCTGTGAAGGGAGCAAGCCGTGCCCACTTGGCAGAAGGGTGATGAGCCCGGGAGGAAGTAGACATGAAGCCCCCGCAGCGATGCAGGGCAGCCGCCCTGAACAACCTCAGGGCCACCAGCCCACTCTTGTTCTACACATTGTTTTTGAATCCATCTCTCGATTTTTTTTTTAACCGACTTTTCTCCATAGAGAAAAGCCAGGTAGGTTTTTGCAAATGAAAATCTTGAGTAAGTTCTTATAGCATTTCTAAGGTATAGAGATCTCTCAACAACGACTTTGATATTTGGGTCAATAGAGGATTTGACTCTTTCTAAATATATACTGTTTTAATAAAATATTTTTTAAATTACCCCTGATGACAGGAACATCAATTGGCACTTTCACTTTCAAATTAGGCAAAACCATATCAGTGCTTACATTTGGTTGTCATACATGGCACATCTTTCTCTTTTTTTCCCATTGAATATAAAACTATGATTTGAGAAGTACATTATATGAAATGTTTTAAAAATTAAAACTTGTCAAATGAACCAATTCTACCCCCATACACTTTTTTAAAAGATGAACTTCCATTGTACTAGGGTAGGTGTGGAATTTGATGGTTAGAACCGCCTGGGTGGGTGCAGGTGCTTATGTTTTCTCTAGAGATCAAGATCCCGGAGGACTGGCTTGGACCCTGGAGATTAATATGCTTAATATGCACCTCGGTGATTCTGACGATTCGTCAAACTAGGGAAACGTTGCCCTGGGCCAGACGGCTGCTTTTCTCAACAGTTAGGAGAATTTCTTTGAGTCATGAAGTTACTGCTCTCGTTCAAAAGGCTTTCAATATTTTCCCAAGGAGTATAAGCCATCTGGTTGGTGTTACAGCAGTGTCTTCATTAGTGTGTACATTTAACATTTCAGTTTTCTCAAATTTTTTTTTAAATTAAGAATTAGAACCCTATCCGTGTACATGTATACAGGGGTGCATGCCAGTGTTATAACAGACTGTGTAAAAGTTCAAACCCGCTTTAAAACGAACATTTTATGATACCGTGTGCTCTTGATCAGGAGTTTAATTACTGGAATAAAAACAGTGGATCTCCCAACCCGCTGCCAAATGCAGTTTTGTTATTTATTTTATGTTTTTAACCTTTCCCAGATCATACAGGGAAAAGCACTCAGCACCTGAGAAAGCTCTCCCTCCTCGCCCCTTTCTAAGACCTGGTTGTACAATTTGTGTTGTTGAAAATACATTTTCTCACTTTCCCTCCTCACTTGATTTCCGTTGGCTTTCTCTACATGACTCTTGGCACAGCGTGCCCAACACTCGGATGGTCCTGGGCTGGAAGAAATTCTCAAAGCCTGAGGGGCAGACACCAGCTACCACTGCAGGTCTCTGCTCCAACGTTGTGTTTTATGTTTGCATAATGTGTTCTTACCATAAAAGTCCCCTTTCTGGGACTGGTGCAGCTGTGGCAGAGCTGAGGAATGTTCTAGAACAGTCTGCTTGTTCTCTGCGTGCTTTGGAGTGAGACCCAAGTGGCCAGCTGCACCCCGGCCTTCTGTCAGAGCCACTGCTCTGCCGGGTCTTGTCTGGAGTCACTGAGCAGGAGCGGCCCAGGGGAACCCAGCGCTTCTCTTCTTTCTGCCCCGAAGGCCCAAGTGCAGGGACCCTGATCGGCCTCAGGGCCTCAGGTAGGCTCTCTGCCTCCTAACCTGGGCCCAAATCTGAGGCTGGCCCTGCCCGTGCTTAGACTAGAAGATGGAATGGGGACCTCCTCCCAGGCCGCCTCCATCTCACCTCCCAGAGGTCAGGCCGGGGAAGAAGCCGGGACCAAGAGGCTTACTCAGCCCCGAGAAATGCCCAACGTGGCTGGCATCTTCCAGAAGCTTCAGGAAAGAAAAAAGCAGCTTTGGGGAGGGTCCCAGGTGAGCATGTGCCTGAAGGAGAGAGAGCTTAGAGTTGAATCTCAGAGCCCCTTTGGCTTACAAGGTATCTGTAAAACCATCAACAATAAAAGATATATTTAAAAATGAAAAACAAATGAACAACAACAAAAATATCAGTTTCTCTGACCACCTGAGCCATATACACATTCCTCTTCAGCTTTTTTAAATTTAACATATATTTTTACTTAAGAGAGAAGAAGGGAGAGGGAAAGAAAAATATCAATGATGAGAATCATTGATCGGCTGCCTCCTGCACGCCCCCTACTGGGGATCGAGTCCACAGCCCAGGCATGTGCCCTGACCAGAATCGAACTGCAACCTCCTGGTGCATGGGTCAATGCTCCACCACTGAGCCGTGCCAACTGGACCGCTTCAGTTTTTTGATGGTGGATCAGTGGCTAGTGGGAGAGTTGAAGATTTTAGCCCAAACTGATTTTCTCTGCCCTGCAGAGGTTTTTTCATAGAAGTCATTTGGGAGTGGCCAAAGTGAGGGGCAGGCATGTTTTCAGCTCCGACCCACAGCTTTTTCTGATGAACATACAACTCCCTCTCCAAAGTCTCATGGGGTTTCCTACTTGGTACCTGGCAGAGGCCAGAGCAGCCAAGGTTTGGTTGAGCTTTACCAGTACTTTCTCCTGCCCTACTCATGAACACAGCAAGTATTATTTTGCATTCCAAATATGAGAGGGCTTTATCATTTTGGGAGAGCTTTGGTACATTGCACCCCACCCCAATTCTGACCAAGTCTGCTACCAGAGGTCCCACCCTTTGTTGAAATAACCCTGCCCCGTGCAAGCACTGGTTGTGGAGCAGTCCGAATGGAACAAGAAACCAAGCCCTCAGACCACTGCAGAGATGCTGTATTCTACTCGCCATCCAAAGGGTTGACAAGGTTCATACTTGGCAGAAGTGAAATTTTCACACAGGCAAGATAGCTAGTTAAGCATCAGCTTTAAACCAGCTGTGTTCAAGGCCAGGTAAGAGCTACTGCGCCTGCAGTCCACCTAGGAAAACAGCATTAGTGAGCAAATTCTTCTAACAGTTCTTTGTGCTTCTATAGCCCCTTTACCAAAAGATATCTTACATTTTGTGCTTTCAAGTGAATTACAAGTTATCTTAAAATAAGTCCTATCTGGGGGGACACTGGAGTTTCAATGTGAACTCAAATGCCAACGTTTTCTAATGTCTTGGGCCGGTTGTCGAAATCATTGTTAAGTAGCTGGGGGTAAAAATGATCACCTCTCTCACCGATGTGTTGTGACGAGTTTCTCTTGTTGAAATGGGAAACATATCAGAGTTTAATGTTTTCTCCTTTTACTTTGAAAAGGCTCAAGGTTAAATTCAAGGAAGCACAAGCTCCGATTTCCCCTCAGAATGTGTTGGTAGCACTCACGTGCATACATGTGCCCAAGCTCCCAAAGAATTCAGTTGTAATAGCCCCCGATGACATGTGCTACCTGAGATGTGCTTTTCGGGATTTCTACAATGTCTGTTACACATTTCAGATGTGATCTTCCTCAACTTCCAATGGTAATTTTGCAGCAAATGCGAACAGACTGTGTTGGATGTCATCACGCAGCTCCCCTGGCCAGACTGGTCAGCTCATTTCATCCCTGCAGCGGGCCAGCACTCTCATCTCTGCTTCAGCGCTTTAAAAATAAATACATATCATAACACAGGTCTTGCGCATCTCTGTTCCTTGGTGACAACGCACGTTGGCAGCAGGGATCTTTTCCTTCAGGTCAGCGTGTCTGAAATACGATGGCACTTAAAAGGCAGGCTGGCTGGAAAGTCACCAATAAAAACACTAGCTCAGCTTAAAACAATTTGATTTCCACCCAAAATGAATCACCTTGCAGCACAAATAGATAATGGCAAACAGAACATGCTACTTACCAAGACGATTCCCTGCTGGGAGGCAGAACTCCGGGTTCATGCGAAGCTCGTTACCCTGTGAGGAAAAGCTATATGGTCTCGTGGGCATTTATGTGGGATGAACTAGTTGGAAGAGGAACAAGGCTGAGTACCCAACACCCCCTCCTTGCTGATTTCCGAAGTGACGGCTCCAAGTGGACTTTCCAGTGCAAACTCGCAATCGGTGTTGGCCAATAAACGAGTCGGCCTCCTGGAAGGGAAACTACCACAGAGAATCCTTCTGCGTCTCGGGAGGCAGGGCCTGTGATGAGCTTCACAAACGAGAAGCTGTGAGGACGTGGAAGGGTGTCCTGTATGTGTTGTTATACAAAGCGCAGTGCTTTTGTGACATGACATTCCTTCTACGCAGTCTCCAGAAGATGGTTAAGTGGCAGACTTTTTCTCAGTAATTCTTCTGTTGATACTATGCATGAACCACTGTGGTTCTGTGCATCCATGAATTGAGAATTATTTTGTCCTAAGGTGAAATAATTTCCAAAGAAAGCACATGCCTCTGGGGAAAAAAAAAATCATTGTGTTTCAAAATATTAGACCCATGCTTCTATCCTTCCACACTGCATTAATGATAGCCTTTCTCCTTTCTTTGGTGCAGACTACTCTGTGTAGATATTCTTCATGTAGTCTTGATAATTGCCCCCACAATGTAGTCTGTAAGGGATTATTTACAGTATTTGCAAAGATTATGGCAATGTCAGGTTTACTGTCATAGTGGAATATAAGATAACTATAATGATTAATAACGTCTATAAAGTTTGAAGTCTAGCCTGGCCAGGTGGTTCTGTTGGTTGGAACATCAATCCCATACACCAAAAAGGTTGCAGATTCAATTCCTGGTCAGGGTACACCTAGGTTGCAGGTTCGATCCCCAGTTGAGGCAACTGATCAATGTTTCTCTCTCTCGATCTCTCTTTTCCTTCCTTTCTCTCTAAAATCAATAAATATATCTTCAGGTGAGGATTTTTTTTTTTAAGTTTGAAGTCTACTAGGACTGTTGGTATAGAGTTTATTCTACGGTAAAACAAGTTACTCGTGTCACTAAAAATTAAATACAATTTCCCAAAGTTAGGTCTCAACCACATTAATATCAATCTGAAATGGTAGCATTTGGGATGTTTGGGCCTTTATGTTATATGAACCAGTCTGTAAACTAGACAGTGAACCAAAACTATGCAAGGACAGAGAGATAGTTGAATTAATTCTGAAAATTTTTAAAAGACTGTTAAGAACACATGACCTAGCCCTGGCCAGGTAGCTCAGTTGGTTAGAGCCTCATACTGATACGCCAAGGTTGTGGGTTCAATCCTCAGTCAGGGCACATACACAAATCAACCAACAAATTCATACATAAGTGGAACAACAAATCATATCTCTATCTCTCTCTCTCTCTCTCTCTCTCTCTCTCTATCCCCCCCCCCTTCTCTCTAATAT